GCGAGAAGGTGTGTCTGTTACAGTTTTCCTTTCCTTTCTTCTAGATGCTGAGCTTTTTATACCCCCAAAGATCAACAAAAAAACCCAGTGGAAACTGAGTCTTCTAGAGTGAATGACCCCAGCAGAGGCGGTTCTCCTTTCCCTTCCTCCTCGGGACCTGGCCGTCAGGAACTGGGAAGAGTAAGACAGTGATCTGCCTTAGCAGCGTGGAGAGCTGCTCCATACAGCAGACCTAAGCAGACACCAAGCAGTTCTGCTTTATTTTGGGTATAATTTTAATTAGCAAAACCTTACGCTTTAACCAGTATTGCATCATTTTGTAAGAATTACTGTTCTTTTGTTTAGTGCTGTCCGAGAGTGTGTTTCCGGTATTTATAGCACCAAGAAGACTCGCTTTCATTCCCAGCTACCAGTCTCATTCATTTTGGGACCTTTGACAAGTCACATAACTGATTCGTGCCTCAGTTAATTGGGAATAATGTTTCATGGCTCCTACCTCAAAAGTGTGAGGAAAAGAAAATAATGTTTTTTAAATATTTTATGTTCTGGGAGGAGAGCCTTATGTATAAACAACATGGCTATTTGTGCTACCAACAGTTGGTGAAATTGAATCACTTAAATGACTTCTTCACCTGGAACTAAAGCAGAATAAAAAGCTAAATATATCCTTTGAAATTCTAAGCTTTCTTATGCTGACAGCTGTTTACTTTGTAATCTCTTACCACATCACGTGCTTCCAGTTAGAACTGTATTGAGCTCCTAGCACTACAGTGTCCACAGGGACTCTTTCTACTACCTGTGAATTTTCTGTGAGGGAGTTAGCAGTATTAGAGCTGGCACAGATTAGCATTTCGGAAACAGTAGCATGCACGTTGAGTATGGTGAACGGTGTGCACGATTGTTGAGTTATTCCTTTTTTCTCCAAGTAATTGCTGCTTTTAACTAAAAGGTTTTTGTCCGTGTCAAGGCCATTTCATTTATTTTTCCTTATGGTGCTTCACTGACCTCTTTTAGTTACTTTTTTGGAAAAATATGAGAATGTTTTCTCTTTTGGATTAATCTAGAAAAAGCTCAGTTCATTTTAACAACAGTTTTGTGGCTGATTCTTGGGCAAGGTTAAAAATTTCTTCCTTGTCTTTAATACCAGACCCAGACATTCATGACTGCGCATGAATGGAAATGCTGCCTCTGATCTGCGGAGTAGAGATATGCCCAGAATTGTAATTAAAGTCATTCCCTAAATAGCAAAATGTAAATGGTAGAATCTAGGTGTGTTTGCTTATACAACTCAATTTCTCTCCATGTCTGAAAATTTTTTTAAAAACAATGGAAAAAAAAAGAAGGTATATCCTGCCTTATAGAAATCTACTTTATGATTTATACCCATAATGGATTGCTATAATTAAGGGCCCCACATTGAAAGGCTGAAAGTGCTTTGTGACTACTCTTTGACCTGGGTAAGTAAACATAGTATCTTATATGGCATTTTAATATATTCTAGTGCTCTTGCTATGGATAATGGTAAGGGCACCCAGGCCTGATAGATTGGAAATAGAAGTAAATGTGTTGTTGATAATAGAGTGGTTTTTCATAGATGTTCCATTCCTTGAGATGTTCCATTTCCTTGAGATAATGTATTGAAGCGTCAAGAAAGAATTTGTGTGAATACAAATACCTATCAATTACTATCTATTTCCTGTGAGCAAGATGGAATTTTGTTCATTTGAGAAGCAGCAGCCTAGAGCAGACCTTCCAAACTGAAGGCAAAGTCACAGAAGAATTTATGGGGAAAGTGCAAGTGTGTGGGAAGAAGAGAAATGTCTGGAAATGATAAACGCTTAATTTGAAGGAAAGGCTCTGTCAAGGTCCTGGAAAAGAATATATACGTCTTTTACTAGATTTGAACTCTGTCCCAAAGCAAGTTCATGCTGCAGTAAGCTAAAAACTCCCGTTGTTTTGCTGGTCCCACTGAGTCGGTTTTGCTCAGATGCTGCAGACATCAAGAGGGAACTTGCAGAGGACTGTGTCTGACAACCCATTTTAAATATACATTTAAAAAAGAACAGAGGCAGGAGGTAGTTTTTTGTTATGTCTTTATGAGTGTAGTTTGATGTAATTTTTTAGCACTGCCACATCTTTTAAATTCATTTTCCATGTATTACACACACACACACACACACACACACACACACACACACAGGTTTACCTTTTAGGGATTGTTCATAGCCATAATTGAAGAGGGTATTTTCAAAAATAAATAAAACTAATGATTCTTAGTTACTTAAGGTTACTACAAGTTTGGGAAGGAAAATCAGCTTTTTCCTCACCTCCTGTGCCTCCCCATAAATTTGTGCGTCACTGGAAGCACCACCTGAACAAGCCCTTAGGAATTTCTGGCTGTCCTTTCTTGTCTGCCATATTTATTAGTAACCGAGGTGAGGAGAATAAACATCTTAGAAGCTAGGTAACCCATTAACATCCCAGAAGCTATAGACAAGTCAAAGCTAATATGGTGACATTTGGGGACACTGAATTGATTCTTGTGTCATTATGTTCCCTAAGCCCTTGCTTCTGCTTCATGCCTATATTAATCTCACTGGCTCTGGAGTCCCAAGGGTTTTTAACACCAACAGATGTTCTCCTTGTATACAGGATAGAACAAGGCCATGGGTCCACCCATCTTAGTGTCCTTGGACAGAGACTTTTTTTTTTTTTTTTTTTTTTTTTTAGATTTTATTTATTTGTGGGAGAGAGAGAGAGAGCACAAGTAGGGGAAGGAGCAGAGGGAGACAGAGAAGCAGACTCGCTGGGATCATGACGTGAGCTGAAGGCAGATGCTTAACTGACTGAGCCACGCAGGCGCCCCTAGAGAGGCACATTTAATCTCACTGAATATTGCCTTGTGTACCCATTAGCACCGCTGTGTACCTTAGCACTATTGACATTTTGGGTCATATCATTCTTTGTTGTAGAGAGCTCTCCTGGGTATTACAGGATGTTTAGCAATATCTCTGCCCTCTACCCACTAGCTGCGGGCGCTGTATACCCCACTCCTGTTCTGACCACCAAAACCAATTGCAGACATTGCCACGTCTCTCATGGGGGGTCAGAATTGCCTGCAGTTAAGAATCACTAAACTAAGATGACTTTCATGTACTTACTAAAACTATTCATCTCTTCCTCTCTCTCTTTCATGAGGATGACTTTTTTTTTCCTACAAGGGGAATTGTGTAAAGATCAAGTGAGACTTCATGGAAATGTGTTGTTGGGTTTTTTGGTCTTTTTTTTTTTTTAAGATTTATTTATTTATTTTTAAAGGTTTTATTTATTTATTTGACAGAGATCACAAGTAGGCAGAGAGGCAGGCAGAGAGAGAGAGAGGAAGAAGCAGGCTCCTTGCTGAGCAGAGAGCCCGATGCGGGGCTCAATCCCAAGACCCTGAGATCATGACCTGAGCCGAAGGCAGAGGCTTTAATCCACTGAGCCACCCAGGCACCCCTTTTTAAGATTTATTTATTTTAGAGAGCACAGGGAGCAGGAGAGAAAAACTCCAGGAGACACTGTGCTGAGTGTGGAACCCTCCCCCCACCCCCAACAATGTGGAGCCCAATCTTATGACCCTGAGATCATGATTTGAGCAAGAGACAGATACCTAACTGACTATGCCACCCAGGTGCTCCCATAAAGGTATTTTGGAAAAGGTACATAGCTGTTCAGCTTAATATAAAAGTACCAATATAGGTACTTTTCTCTTTTATTCTTTTTGGTATGTGTTCATTTTAAACTGCAGCAGAACATTTAGATCTACTGTGGCCTGGAGATTTCCCTCCAGAACTACCCTTTCATGCTTCCCCTTCATCAAAACTCACCTTTTGGGGATCCTTGACTTGGGGTCCATAGATACTTAACGGATTTAAAGATAGTATCTTTCTGTAGAATTGGTTTTCTCTGTAATTCTATGTATTTTATTTTATGCATTTTAACATATTATTCTAAGGAAGGGTCCAAAGGCTTTAGCACCCTGCCAGTAAGGTCCAAATGTTAGGAATTAATCAAACTTTAACCTGCCCAACAGTGAATGTTCGTGAAATGTTGGACAGAAACTGAGGTTAATAATAAGACCTTATACCTCCCTATGTACCCAGCTGCTAGGTGGTCCTCTGACACTGCCGGGTAGGGTTTAGTCACCCTTGCTTAACTCTAGGAACTTCAGAAGCCCTTCTGTGTCGGGCTGTACTTCTCTCTTCCGGCTTGCTGGTGCCAGTCAGCTGTGTTTACCAGGCCTGGATACAGGGTTGGGCAGTTAGGTCTTTCGAGACAGTCTAGGCAAACCTGGATACTATGAAGATGGCTTGGTAGGGCTTCTCCCTGGGCATGGCAGAGATGCCATACCTCTTCTGTGAGTGCTTGAATGCCTAGGTGCCTTTGGGTGTGCATGTGACTGAAAACCATGGTAAGGGACACTTCGGTGACATAATCAGTTAAGCATCCCACTCTTGGTTTCAGCTTGGGTTGTGATCTCAGGGTCATGAGATTGAGCCCGTGTCAGGCTCTGCGCTCAGTATGGAGTCTGCTTGAGACCCTCCCTCCCTCTCCCTCTGCCCCTCCCCCGCCCCATGCTAGCTCTCTTAAATAGATAAATGGATCTTAAAAAACAGAAAAGAACCATGGTGAGATTTCAGGGCTCCTGTATAAGAGAAGTCTACAAGATAATTCTAGCTAGCTCTTAGGATCACCTCCCAGAGGCCAGATACTAGTATTTCATTGTTTATCTCTTTTTTTTATATCAGCTGTGTGAAGTAGGCCTTTGAATTCAATTTTATAGGTAAATAGACTCAAGCCACACAGGTGGTAGTGAAATAGGGTTTCAGATCAGAGTTCAAACCCATTTCTTTCCACTGTTTGATGCTGCTCCCTGCCAGTGTTCAGATGCTGAGGTTGAGAGGACAGAGACTGTATTGGGGACTATTCTGAAAAATCTGTTTTCCATTTAAAAAACTGGCCCTGTAAGACTACCACAGAACATGCTGGGCCCCAAAAGGGCTTCTCTGGTCTTGAAGGACTCGTTGTTCCTACTGGCTCCTCAGTTGGGGTAGAATGACCACACCGGGCAGGTTCCCGCAAACCCACATCATTAGCCCCAGAACTGCCAACCTCTATCCCATGCCCATCCTCAGTTCCAGCTGTGTAACCTACGGGTTGATGGGGAATCCAGTCTAGTGGGTGGCGAGCGGCTGAAGAGTTGCCCCCTTCAGACACGCACGTACACCTTGCTCATTACATGCCAGGTTTCAGCAGCCCGTCACCATAATGGGTTGGTAAGAGCTGTATTGAGACATAAGTTCCTGTTGGAACTAAAGGAAAGCACGATTTATGCAGGAACCACACACCCTAGTCCACTCTTCACAAGCCTTCATGAAGCATGAAGTGTGCTCTGCAGCTGTGTGGGAGACCGAACCATTGTAGCAGACTTCCTGTTGTTGATCGAAAGGAATATTCTATATGCCCTGAAGTACTGACTCTATGTCTTTATCACGCTCCCCTTCTGAGATGTAACAGTGTGATCGTTCCTAAAACAGGGGATACAAAAAGGGACAGAATAAGGTTAGAGCTAGTTTTTCCCAAGAATGTTCAAGCAGGCGGCACGTCATACGTGCCTTTGTTGTTTCACCCACATCTCCGACTCCGTTTGGCACATGCTGCATTCATGAACTTGCTCTTACTGAGTCAGGAAATACAGACACACGCTATGGAGGGAACACGAGGGTCGTTTAATAATTACTACAGAAGCGAACATGCGGACTTAGCTCCCTATGCGTCGGACGGGTGCTCACCCAGCAGAGCTGATGCATGGCAGCCACGCTTGGTCGGAGTTCAGAAGCACCTTCTGTAGAGGAAGAAAGGCCCGTGTTCCTCGTACTCAGAGCGGTGGACCCACAGGGGTTGGAAGCCCTGAAGCGAGGCCAGGATGGAGCCGCCTGTCCACACCGCAGTGTCTCTCTCGGGCAGCACATTGACCTGCGGGTTGTCGTTGGGACACATGCTGCTCAGCTCCTTCTGCAGGCGGTTGGGGAAGCCGCTGAGCATCGTGCTCCCCCCGCAGAGCAGGATGCTGCCCATGAGATCCCGCTTGAGGGCAATGTCACACTTGTGAAGGCAGGACACAGTCTGGGTGTGGAGCCCCAGCTGCATGGACTTGATCAGAGAAGGCTTAAAGAACATCTCTGAGCAGAGGAACCTTTCCTGGCCCAAGTTTATCACCTGCCCGTCAGGCAGAGTGTACTGAATTGTATGCTCAGTGGCTGGGATTTTCTTCTCTTCGATGGGGTCCAGGGCCACAAAGCAGCATTTCTTCTTGATGTCCTCCACAATCCCTGTCTGGTCCTCGGTGAAGTGTTTCCCCGCATTATTCATCAGGCCCATCAAATAGGCTGTCAGGTCAGAGCCTGCGTAGTCCAGACGTCCGGTGATGCTGGGCAAAGGATAACCCTCGTAGATGGGGACCACGTAGGACACGCCGTGGCCGACCTCCACCACCAGGCCAGAGGTCCTTCCGTAGGAGTACATGGACAGGCGGGACTGGTAGGCGATGTGCATTGCAGGAGTGCTGAAGGTTTCAAACAGCATTTCAGCATACTTCTCTCTGTTGGTGTGTGGGCTCAGGGGTGGATCGGAAACCAAGACCGCATGCTCCTCCGGGGCGATCTTCATCTCTTGATGGAAGAGATATTCCCAGATATCCTGCACTGTGTCCCAGTCTACGATGATGCCATGCCGCAGAGGATTAATTAGCTTGAGACGAACCCCTGGATTGATGAGGTCCCGCCCCACGAATGTCTCCTTGCGATTGTCCCCGGTTTTGGCGGTCTCCATGTACGGCTTGCCCACTGTCGATGAGATGATGTGGGTGGGCTTCGGCAGCCCGGCAAAGCCACATTTGCAGGAGCCAGTGCCAAGGTCCACGACCACTGCTTTGGTCACCACTAGCTTGGATTTCTCCTTGCCTGTTGTTGATTTAGTAGGTTCTTCCGGCTCTGAATGGTTACAGCGGACCCACACTGCCCGCTTCGCTGGGCCATCTTTTAAGGAGGCAGTCTGGAGGACGTGTGATTGTAGGGGTGCCTGTTCACCCACTTTCTTGGCAGGCCCATCCCCGATGATTGATGCCTGAGGAGCCCACATGCTATCAAGAGCCATCTTGCTCTCAGAAAGTTCCTCGATCCCACCGGCCTCAAGGCCTGAAAGGCGTATATCAGAGGGCAACTTGAGAATTTTCCCAACAATGACATCACTGATTGTGACGTAATCTGGTGACTGGGGGCTTTCTAGATAGTGGAAACCTGTGTCCCATGTTAGGGTAGATTTGGGGTGGTGTCTTAGAGGTCACTTAACCTTTTTCTAGATTTGGTAATTAACCTGATTTTAGCCAATCAGTTATTTATTGAGCACTTGCTACATGAAAGGACACTGGAAATAAAAGGCAGCTGTGGAGGAAAAAAGACAACAATCTCTGCTCTTGTAGACTTTACACTCTAGTCAGTGGGGGCTGGGGGGAGAGGCAGTGGCCAAGACAAACAGCTGTTGGAAAATGGTTAAGGGCAAAAGAGAAAAGGCAGGGAAGGGTGTTGGGGACGGTGGCCATGTTCTGGGCTTGGGCAGGGATCCCTGAGAGGGTGACAACTTGAGTGAAGACCAGAAGGAGGGGAGGGACAGTGCCACGTGTGTCGGGTGTATATTGGGAGCAGCAGGTGCAGATGTTGGAGGCGCACCTGCGACCAATGAGAGGAGGGGCCAGCAAACTAGCGCCGGCCCTCTGTGTTCGGTAAATCAGCCTTTACCCGAACAAAGCCATGCTCATTTATGTACAGATAGTACTTCGTGTACTATCTGCGCCTGCTTCTATGCTACAACCTCATTGCCATGAAGAATGCACAGCCCGCCACCCTGACGATGTTGGTTATCAGGCCCTTTACAGAAAAAGTTTTTTGGCCCCTAAGTTAGAGGATCCCACTCCCCGTGTGGCTGAGTGGGGACAGCAAGGAGAAGTACGTGAGGTGGGAGAAGGGGGTGGGGAGGGGGAGCCGCCCACATCCATCCTCTTGGCCACTGCTATGACTTTGGCTCTGACTCTGCATGAGGTCAGAAAGCACTAGAGACTTGCGCACAGTTGATACTACCTGATGGAGATTTTGGCAGGACTGCTTGCTGCTGTAGTGACCGTGCTAAGCACTTGTGTCTCAGTTGTCCCTTATGACAGCCTGCAGAAGAATTTTTAGTCACATGTGTACACATACTCCTTCACGCGGGCCCTTGGGTCGGCGATGAAATCAGACCATACAGAGTTGCACTGATAAGAACACTGAGGTTCTTAGGTGCATGGGCTCGCCTGTGGGATCCAGCCAGTGGGGGCCAAGCTTTCCTGACTGGGACTTCATCCCAGGGGTGTGGTGTGGACACCCCTCAGTGAGACCCAAAATGTGTCTCTAAGCACACACGGCCATCATCTCACATGCCATCTCTGAAGATAGGCACGGTGGTGCTGACACCTGTCCCTGTCAGGGCATCCAGAAACCAACTTTTTGTTATGCGGTCCCACGCTTTTCATGAAAGAGTCATTTGCTCCAAAGGGGGGCTTTCCCCTTTGAGGAGGTTACTGGGGATGCTCTTGGCTCTTTGTGGGGGGTGGGTAAGAGAAGAAAAGCACTGAGTCCAGTCTTGTGACCGTCTAATGGGGGCAGTCATGCTGTCACCTCAGAGTGTCCGCTTCTTGGGTCGATGGGTAGAGGATGAGATAGCATTGAATTTTGAAAGAAGAGGAAAGTATTTCTCTATGCCTGGCTGCCTAAAAAACTGTGTACTTGCCCGTTGTTCAGTGGGGGTTTGCATGACCAGCTTGGATCGTTTGACTTCGAAAGAATGTTTATGTGATAACCAAAGGCACATTTCATGTAGGGTGACCGATTTTTCCTTCTCAACCCTTGTCTTGAATTCGGACAGATGTGCAGCTGCCTAGTGCATTGTCACTGCCCTGGATTCCTGTAAAAGCCTATGCTCCTTTCCTGTGGCCGCTGTCACAAATTACCACATACTTAGTGGCTTCAAACACAGATTTATTAACTACAATTCTGGAGGTCAGAAGTCCCCATTCTTGGCACTGGGGGGGCCGCGTTCCTTCCCAAAGCTCTAGGTGATCATCTTTGGCCTTTTCCAGCTCCCTAGAGGCCACCTACATTCCTTGGCGTGGGGCCCCTTCATCTTCAAAGACATGTCTGACTTCTGCCTCTTTCATCCTATCTCGGACCTCACCCTCCTGTCCAGCTCTTATTAAGACCTTGATGATTAGTTCAGGGCCACCCCCATAATGCAGGGTAACCTCCCTATTTCAAACTCTTTAACTCTTACCTGCGAAGTCCCTTTTGCCGTGAAAGATAACATTCACAGATTCCAGGGATTAAAGATGGGGACATCTTTTGGGGACCTTTATTCATCCTGTCCCTTGACCTGTGCTTCCCACTTCGCTGAGACACTAAAGCCTGCCAGGCTGGCTTGCACGTGTTCCCCCCGCCCAGGCTTACCCCTCTTTGGCTCTTTCTGTCAGTGTGGGTGGGAGAGGTGCTGTGCGGGCTTAAGGACACCCGCTCCTTCCTGTCTGTAAGGTCCAAGAGCGCAGGGACTCTTGGTCTACCCCACATCCTTCAGGCTAATGTCACTGGATGCTTTTCACTCCTTTTAGTTCACCTCTCTGGATTTCGCATGCTTGGATGATCTCTCTTAAGTGAATCCCTTTGCCCTTAGCTTCTATGTCCCCCTTTGTGTTCCTTCTTTCCTCTTGGGGGTCAGGAGACAGTTAATGGTATCAATGATGGGAGAATATGGAGACCCTTGGCACACTGCACTTCAAACCCTCAGTGCCTGGTATGCAGAAGCCCCTGTACTTGTTACTCACCATCTGAGGTACTCGTGGGCTCCCAGGGATCTCTGGTGAGGTCCCTCCTAGTTAGAGGCACCCTCAGTTGTCCAAAGTATCTCGGGTCATATTTTCTCTGGGATCACACCTACTTTTGCTCCTCTGGCCCAAGGCTAGAAAACCGTGAGGTGATCCTTCCTGAAAGCAACTTTGAGGCCCTCCTGTAGTGGAAGAAAAAACTGGAAAGATGAGACCCAGAAACACATCTCTCCCTGAGCTGGTATCCTTGCTCTGGCTTCTGGGACACCACCTGCCCTTGATTATGGAAAGAAAGGTGAACTGGGTCCCTGTGATCTTAGCAGCTATGGGAGGGAAGAAAGATAATCTAGTAAGGAAAATGCCAAAGTACAGGGTTTCTTATGAATCACCTGGAGATGTTTTGTTTTGTTTTGTTTTGTCTTGTCTTTGAAGGAGGACGGTTTGGGATGGAGGGCCCTATGGAAACCTAATAACTTTGCCTGCTCTGGACGACAGGCCATCTTTCTTTGCTTTGGCGGAGGTGAGGGATTCATCCCTCCCTCTCCCTCACTCCCCACAGCTGGTCTAATCATCTGATGTAAATGCAGTGTTTGAGGTGAGAGGTGTCACAGGAGCAATGAGAGAAGGCCTTAAATGCTAGAGTTAAGAACTTGGGTTGAATGGGAGGTAGTTGGGGAACCAACCAAGTGGATGAGATTCTACCTTCTAAACTTCTGGAGAGTCTGTTCGTCCTTCTCTTCCACACCCTCCCAGCCTGGCTTAGGTCTCCTTCAGGTCTTACAGGAATGTCTTCTGTGGCGTTGCCCCTCTACATCACAGCTAAGTACAGATCTTGTCCAAATTTTCCAGCAGTCAGATCTGACCACCCCCCCTGCTTAAAATCTTCGTTTGTTCCCCACCTGTCCTCCATTTAACCCAAGCTCTTACTCCAAGCGTTAGAGGCCCTCCCTAGTTGGCTCCATAAACTCTCTAGCCTCATCTGTTTTTCCAAACATTTAACTACTAGAAGTTCCCAACATTTCCTGCTCCCCCCCCACCCTGGCCTTTGCACAGGCTGTGCTCTTTGCTTGGGATGCCGTCCCCTCCTCCTAGCTACTTGACAAATACCCACATGGTAGTTGACTTAGGATCACCTCTCTCTAGAACTTGCTGACTCCTTCCCTCCAGTAATCACTCCTTCTTCGTGCCCCTTTGTTCTCCCAGTAGACTTCTACCTACAAACTTGTCTGCATCCGTTCTGTCTCCTTCCCACCTAGAGGGGACGCTGCTGTGGCCAGGCTTCTGGCGTCTGTCGCTGGCAAGCTGTCCTGCGCTGGACCTGCCACCAGCCCCAGTAAATGCTGAACGAAGGGATGAGGGTACTGTTGGAGCCTTCACGCTCTAAGATCTGGTGCACACAGTTGAATGAACTTGAATAAAAATACAAACATTTCAAGAGCTGTTTTCTCCTGAGCAAGTCATTTGAATTCTGAACCTTCATTTCCTCAGCTCAGTCTATACCTCTCCGGATTCTAGGGAGTAACATATGTGTGGTACTTGGTACAGTGCTTGGCTTACTGTAGGGACTCAAATATTTATTATCCTCTCAGCTAAGAAGCAGAGAAAGGAAAGGTGTTCAGTCAGTGCACAGGGCATCAGGAGCAGGGGTGGAAGGGGAGGGGGTAGAAACCTGACACCCCAGTGTGCCTGGGTTTCTAAAACTGCTGGCCGCCTGCTAGGTCTTAGAGCAAAGTCAAGTTAGGTGGACAGCGGTGGGGCTGGCAGATCAAGGGCCTGCCGAGGCCAAGCCCTCCCCGGGCTGCCAGAATGGACCGGCCCTCAGTGACATCACAATCCAGAGGGGTTGCCAAGGCCCTGCTGGAGGGGGACCGTCTTATTTCTCCCCACGGAGCTCTAGGATGTGGATGTGAGAAAGGTGAGCCAAGAAGGAAGATGGCGACGAGGAGCAGCCCTAGCCCCATGCCCCTGGGCACGGCTCAGGGTGATCCTGGAGAGGCAGGAACACTGCCAGGTTCCGATGCTGGCATCCGGGACACAGGTCTGGTCACCCCGCTGAAGATGAAGCCCAAGAAGGTGCGCAAGATCAAGGCCCTCATCATTGACCTGGGCTCCCAGTACTGTAAGTGCGGCTATGCTGGCGAGCCCAGGCCCACCTACTTCATCTCCTCCACCGTGGGCAAGTGCTACTCAGAGGCGGCTGATGCTGGTGACACCCGCAAGGAGACCTACGTGGGCCACGAGCTGCTCAACACGGAGGCGCCCCTGAAGCTGATGAACCCGCTCAAATACGGCATCGTGGTGGACTGGGACTGCGTCCAGAGCATCTGGGAGTACGTCTTCCACACGGCCATGAAGATCCTCCCTGAGGAGCATGCGGTGCTGGTCTCCGACCCCCCGCTCAGCCCCAGCAGCAACCGGGAGAAGTACGCGGAGCTCATGTTCGAGACCTTCGGCATCCCTGCCATGCACGTGACGTCCCAGTCGCTCCTGTCCATCTACTCGTACGGCAAGACCTCGGGCCTGGTGGTGGAGAGCGGGCACGGCGTGTCGCACGTGGTGCCCATCTCGGAGGGTGACGTGCTGCCAGGCCTGACCAGCCGCGCCGACTACGCCGGGAGCGACCTCACCAACTACCTGCTGCAGCTGCTCAACGAGGCCGGCCACAAGTTCACGGACGACCACCTGCACATCATCGAGCACATCAAGAAGAAGTGCTGCTACTCGGCACTCGTGCCCGAGCAGGAGCTCGACCTGTGCCTGGAGGACATGCGCGTGGACTACGAGCTCCCAGATGGCAAGCTCATCACCATCGGCCAGGAGCGGTTCCAGTGCGCCGAGATGCTCTTCAAGCCCAGCCTGGTGGGCAGCAACCATCCCGGCCTCCCCGCGCTCACGGCCGCCTGCCTGGACCACTGCCGGGAGGCGGGCTTCAAGGAGGAGATGGCCGCCAACGTGCTGCTCTGTGGCGGCGGTACCATGCTGGATGGCTTCCCCGAGCGCTTCCAGAGGGAGTTGAGCCTCCTCTGCCCCGGGGACAGCCCCGTGGTGGCTGCTGCTCCCGAGAGGAAGACCTCCGTGTGGACCGGCGGCTCCATCCTGGCCTCCCTGCAGGCCTTCCAGCAGCTCTGGGTCAGCAAGGAGGAGTTCGAGGAGCGGGGCAGCGCGGCCGTCTACAGCAAGTGCTGAGCGCCCGGGTCCCGGCGGGCGGGGCCTGGTGGGCACGCGGCCTCCGGCCACTCTGCGCATTTACAGAATTTCTCATAAAACTTCAAGTGCAGTGGTTCTGGTCTAGTCTGCGTTTCTTGCTCTCGCCTGGCAGCAGGCAGGGGGTGGGGGGTGGGGATTTGGACTCAAAGATCTCAGCACCTTTTGCTCTTCGGGGTCAAGAGTACCCGGTGGGCTGGGGAGGGGGGATGGTGCGCGGTGGCTCACCGACCCGTGCCCCACAGCCCCCATCACGAGGGCGACATTGTCTCAGAGCCCGGAGTGTTCCATTATCTCCCCCGAGTTTGAGACCCCGCTCGACAGGCATGGGCCAGGAGGCAGACCAAGGCTCACGTGAAGGGGCTAGCTTGGGACCCCTAGTTCAGTGGTGCGTGGGAGGCTTAGCCAGGTGTCAGACTTCGGTCTCCCGTTTCTAGCTCTGGTGGTCCCCCATCTTCTCCCTGCTGCCCGCAGCTGCCTGCTGGAGCTCCCCTGACACACTCACTAACCCCCACCCCCACAACCCGCCCTTTCCAAAGGTGCAGCCCGTGGGTGGGCGTCCCGATTGTGTGTGCTCTGATTGGGAGCCGCCATTTCTGCCTATCAGGGGCCCTACCCCTGCCAACCCCAGCCCAGACGGCAGCTGTGTTTGCGCCGGCAAAGCCAAGCCACTGAATCCAGAGGATGCCAAAGGAAACCAGGAAGCCCTTTGGGAACCCCGTGGTTCTCTGCTTGCTACAGACACAGGGAAACTGAGGACCAGGAGAGAGGGGCCTAGGTCAGTCGTTGAGCCCAAAGTTGTCCGGCCCAGGCCATGTTACTTCTAGAAGGGTAAACATGGTTGCTTTAGGGTGGGCTGCTCTAACAAGACCGTAGACCAGGTGGCTTCTAAACGACAGAAATTTACTTCCGGAGGCTGTGGGAGTCCAAGCCCGGGTTGCTAGCGTGGCTGGGTTCTGGTGAAAGTCCTCTTCTGGGTTGCAGACTGCCGGCACCTTGCTGTGTTCTCACTTGGCCTAAGGGATAGGGAACGCTGAGGCCTTTGTATGAAGGCACTGCTCCATTTATGAGGGCTGCCCTTATGACCCAGTCAACTTCTCCAAAGCCCCACCTCATACCCTTACCTTGAGCATTAGGTTTTCAACATATGAATTGACCAAGGGGACTGGCGGGGGCCGGGGTGGGACAAACACTCAGTCTATAGCAATGCTTCTTAATAGCAAGTATGACCAGAATGTGGCCCTTCCCTCGGGATCACACACGGTGGTCACCCATGTTGGTAAGGAGATGAGGCCAGAGCTCCGTGTTTCTGGGGGTGGGAAGGTGGAGGTAGTATTGGAAAGCTGTAAGAGAAGTGCTGGGCATGGTGGCCATTTGGTGGCTTCGGGGCTAAGGGAGAAGCTGGTGCGTCCTGTGAGATTTCAGCTCAGGGATGACGGTCTGCCGAGAGGAGGGTGGCTGCTTCCTCTTTCTCCAGCTCCCCTCTGCTGATGGAGCCCATGACCAAGCATCTGTGGGATCAGACACTCGTGAGCTGTGGAATCTGATGGGCTACCGGATGGTGCTGAGCTGCCTCTTACCTTAGGAGTTCTGATCTGCCGCACCCTGCAGGACTGCATCTGTCCCGGGCCCGGCCTGGAGGCCACCGGCTTGCGGTCTTCATTGCTCAGTGGCTGGCCATTTAGTCCCTCCCCTTCGCCCAGAACTGGGCCTCTAGCCCAGGGTGGGAGTCCCTGGGGGATGGGGGCTGGCAGGGCCATGGTGCTAGTCAGGGACCTCCGCTCTTTCCTGTGGGGAGGGTGTTTGTGGACTGGGGGCTGCAGGTTGATGGTGCCAGGAGGCACATTACGTTTGGCCGGCACGGTGTCTGGGTGTTCTCTGGAATGCGAATTCTTCCAGTGGGACTTGTATGTTGCAGGTTGTGCCAGTTTCTCCCACCCTGATCTCTTCCCACGTACGCGCTGCTGCTGCATCATTTGCTTAGACTGTTTGCGCTCCAACTTGCCTCTCCGCGATCGCTGCCCCACTGCTCTCCTCGCCTGGTCCTCTCCTCCTCTCTGTGGCAGAGGCTGTAGAAACACTTCCTCCTTGGCAGGAATTTATCCAAGCCCATCACAGACACAACAGGAGATTTAATTTTGGCGGAATACTACGAGTTAGCGATTTCCCGCTCAAAATGACCATCCAAACGTGCGCTTGTCTCCTCTCCCTCCTAGGACTATATTATAGTGATAGAAGATGTTGATGTCTGCAAGTGAGAATGGTAGAGGGACTGCAGGAGGCCAGAAGTTTCTGCCTGATTCTGGAAGAAGGAAAGCGGATGCAGGGCAGGAAGGTTGCGGCCTGAAGCTGGCAAGGTGCTCCTGGTGGGTGAGGGTGGCCTCCTGTCCTGCGGGACAGGTAGAGAATGGGGACTTGGAAATGCCACGTAGGGGAGGATCTACCACTGAAGCGTGTGAGACAAAACAGGATGGGGAGGGGGCGGTAATGAATGGCCCCTGGGAGCACAGCCCCCCTCCCGTGTGCACAGGTAGAGGGGTGAGCAGAATGGTCAGCCTCTGTGTATGAATTTCTCAGAGCTGAAGAGCTCACTCTCCGTGAAAGCAGTGCTCGTACAGGGAAGACGCGTGCATGTAGAGCTGCTCATGAGCTCCGCCTCCAACCCCGAATGCGCGGTCACACCCAGGTCTAGCTACGATGCCCCAGGTGGAATAGGTAGTTGATGCCTCCGATTACCCCTCAACCCTTGCCCACAACATCCGTCTTCTGCCTGGGCATCACGTGTGGCCCAGGGCGGATCTCTTCTCCAGAACCAAGGAGCGAAGCCAATCAGAGCCGCCATCTGTCTGCCTGGCTAGAGTGAGCATGGGCCTCAGGGTGCCCGAGCCATCACAGGCCGTTCGCTGGGAAGCTTGACATGCCATTGGTGTGGCCTGGAACTGCTGCGTCAACGTTTGTCACCAGGAAGCAAACTGAAGCTGGGCGGGCCTGAGCGCAGGACTCAGACGCGGGGTGCCCTGATGGGAAAGTGAGCTCAGAATGCGCCCGGGCCCGGAGCGCCCTCTACCGGCAGGCTGTTTCCATGACCCACGCTCTCGCCCTGCGCCTCTGGCACGTGGGACCGGGAACGCTGGGCTTCAGTTTCCTTCTCCGTAGTGGTGCTCCTCCAGGCTGGTTTGCGGGAGGAGGGGTTGGAGAGGGCTCTTACAATGGAAATTTTAGGACCAACACTTTATTTCCCATCAAATCGGCTACCACACATGACTTTTTCTGAAGATTTAAGAGAGTGTCAGGCTAACACACAATGCTGAAATGCAGAAACCTAAGAGTGTTTACTGGCCAGTGTCCTATATTATTTGGTGTCCATATTTGTCCCCGAGGTTAAAGGTGGAGCTCCTTAAAAGCAGGAACTTTGACTTTCTTATTTTAGCTTTCTGCAACCCCAGTGCTCGACGCGACTACTGACCGAGATAACTTACTCCCAGCCTATGAGGTAGAAGTTACAAGTATTTCCCCCATTTCACAGATGAGGACACTAGAGTCTGGAGAGATTACAAAATCTTGTCCAAATTCACCTGCCTGGTTAATCAGTCTTGTGCTAAATGGAAGTTTTGTGATTCCAAAATGCCTCCTTTGCCTTTGTTTCCTACCTTCCTGTAAATTACCAATTTCTTTAACCAAAGAAAAAAAAAGTCATAAAAACTGCTTTCAAGTAGTGAACAACAAATACAAAGTAATGAACAACAGCAAATATGATGGAATTTCATGATGAGGTACGAAAGTGAAGAATGCTGATCTTTTAGTGAGGGAGGGAATTCTCTTGCCTGAGATAGCCGGAGGCATAAATCAACAAGTACTCGAGTGACCTCACGTGGTAAAATTCTACTCTCTGGACACAGCAGGTGGTCTCTCATGCTCACTGCCTGTCTGGGCAGCCTGATCTTTTGTCCCCCAGTGGTTATTACCAAGTTTGCGTTAAGAGTTTTCTGCCTAAGATGGGCTTATTAAGCAATTAACTGGTTTTTTAAAAGATTTTATTTACTTATTTATTTGATAGAGAACATGAACAGGGGGAGGGGCTGAGGGAGAGGGAGAGGGAGCAGCAGGCTCTCTGCTGACCAGGGAGACTGACGGGAGACTCAATCCCAGGACCCTAGCCCAGATCCTGACCTGAGGCGAAGGCAGTCACTTAATGGACTGAGCCACCCAGATGCTCCAGCAATGAACTTTATTACAATACAAACTATTAATGGTGTTCTACTTGACATTAGGTGGGTTTTTTGTTTGGTCCTACATTTTCCTGGAATGCAGTATTTCTTAACCCGTGGGGAGAGGGAGTGCGGGTCCTTGGTTATGCTGGAGTTAGCTCTTTGGATGGGCTGTGAGAGCCCATTGTTAGACTAGTCAGGAATTTTGCTAGCCAAACTAAATTGTTAATTTGTGTTGGTGGCTTGAATTGGACCTGGTGGGTGTATTGGCCACCACAGAAATCAGAAATCAGCAGGTGTTACAGATCAGGGTCCCCGGCCCACCACAGAGAGTTTGTTTAAGGGGGGGGAAGCAGGAAGGTGGGAGAGAAATGGTGGGCCGCAGAACTGTCTAGGGAGCTAGTTCCAAAAAACAAATAACAAAACTGGTGTGGACCATCCTCCTAGATTGAATCAGTAGATCTGGGGAAGCCCTTCGGGGTCTGCAAGCGGGAAGTTCCCCCAGGTGATTCTAGGAGGCACTCGTGGTAAAGAAGCTGCTCAGAAGAGTGCAGGGCACGTAGTAAGCACAGCGTCAATGTTCAGAAATCAGTCAGAAGCTGTGGCCAAGCGTGGGACAAGCTGAAGGTGCTGGGTGTCTGAGATGCTGCTCCTTTGGGTCATAACGTTTCTCGTTACCTGTTTAAGACCCAGTCTTCCTCCAAGGCACAGCCCCATGTCCACTCCCCTGGAAGGCGTTCCCCGACACTCTGGGGCAGGGAGCTTCCTCCCTGAACCCCTTTGCAGTGCTGTGAGTTTGCAGGTCTGTCATGGCTTTGTGTGTGTGTGTG